TCCAGCCGGGCTTGTAAACGAGCCAAGTCTCATTGGTATTCCTGGGTGCTATTGCTAGGTATTGATGAGCACATACATGCACGTGGCCTTGGTACGTGACTCTGGGCTTTACTATGACATGAGTTACTGTGTGTGCCTCTGTGGATTTGTATGAGACTGTTTGTGTGTCCTTCAGGACATGACTGTTACCTTTGATTGAGGTTCCTTCATACCTTTTCCATTTAACTAGGCCTGATCAATCTGTGAAGAACTTGATTGTAGCTTCATCGCACCCTTTAAATGTGTTTGGACTGATGATGTTGCTATTCATACAGCTGGTTGTTGGGCTGGGCTAAAAGATTTAAGTTTTTTTGTCATGGAGTATCAAAATCGATAACATTTTGTTGTCTGGGCAGCATGAAAGTACACAGATATATGTTTAGACTGCTTTGCTTCCCTCAGTCTTTACCAACTAACTTCAATCATTTCGTCATCTAAACCATCAACCTGCCTCTTAGACCCCATCCCGACTAGGCTGCTAAAAGAAGTTTTACCCTTAGTCAGCACTTCTCTACTAGATATGATCAATCTATCTTTATCAACAGGCTATGTACCACAGTACTTTAAATTAGCTGTAATTAAACCTCTTCTGAAAAAGCCCAACCTTGATCCAGATGTTTTAGCCAACTATAGACCTATATCTAACCTTCCATTTCTCTCTAAGATCCTTTAGAAAGCAGTTGCCAAACAGCTGTGTGACTTTCTATATAGCAATAGTCAGGATTTAGAGTTAATCATAGCACAGAGACAGCACTGGTGAAAATTAATAAAGACCTCCTAATTGCATCAGACAAATGACTTGTCTCTGTACTGGTTTTATTAGATCTTAGTGCTGCATTTGATACCATTGACCATCAGATCCTATTACAGAAAATGTTAAACTCAGATAAAACTGAAGTTATTGCTCTGGGGCCTAAGCACCTCCGTGACGCATTATCTAAAGATATAGTTTCCCTGGATGGCATCGCCCTGGCCTCCAGCACCACTGTGAGGAATCTTGGAGTTATCTTTGATCAGGACATGTCGTTTAAGTCGCACATTAAGCAAATTTCAAGGACCGCCTTTTTTCACCTATATAATATTGCACAAATCAGGAACATCCTGTCTAAAAATGATGCAGAAAAACTAGTCCATGCATTTGTTGCTTCTAGGCTGCATTACTGCAATTCCTTATTATCAGCCTGCTCGAAAAAGTCCATTAAGACTCTTCAGCTGATCCAGAATGCTGCAGCACGTGTTCTGACAGGAACCAGGAAAAGAGACCACATTTCTACAGTCTTAGCTTCTCTGCATTGGCTTCCTGTAAAATCCAGAATAGAATTTAAAATCATTCTTCTTACCTGCAAAGCTCTTGATGGTCAGGCACCATCTTATCTTAAAGAGCTCATAGTACCTTACTATCCCACCAGAGCACTGCGCTCCCAGAATGCAGGGTTACTTGTGGTTCCTAGAGTCTCCAAAAGTAGACTAGGAGCCAGAGCGTTCAGCTATCAAGCTCCTCTCCTGTGGAACCAGGTTCCAATTTGGGTTCAGGAGGCAGACACCATCTCCACATTTAAGAGTAGGCTTAAGACTTTCCTCTTTGATAAAGCTTATAGTTAGGGGTGGCTCAGGTGAGTCCTGAACCATCCCTTAGTTATGCTGCTATAGGCTTAGACTACTGGGGGATTTCCCATGATGCACTGAGCTCCTCTCTCCTCTTCTTTCTCTCACCCTGTATGCAATCTCAGCCCATTAATGCATGTTACTAACTTGACTTCTTCTCTTTCCCATAGTCTTGTGCTTTCTTGTCCCTCTCCTCTCTCCTCCTATCACTTCCTGCAGGTGTTTCTGGCTCTGGTGCTGTGGAGTCTGGATCTGTGGTTGCGAGTCACCTGCTGCCCCCGTGTCCCTGCTCGACACCCTCTGCTACAATTATAGTTACTAGTCCTATTGTTATTATTGTTATTATAATCATTAACATTATGATTATTAGAATTAACACTACTAGAAATATCTGTACCATTTTTCATTCAGTCTATAGCAACATTATCTTTACTGTCTGTACCTCTGTGTGTATATTTTGTAGGCTGCCTCCCTCCCCTCTCTCTCTCCTTCCCTCCCTCTCTTTCTCTCTGTTCCTCTCTTACCCTCTCTCTCTCTCTCCTCCACCCCCAACCCGTCGAGGCAGATGGCCGCCCACCCTGAGCCATGGTTCTGTTCGAGGTTTCTGCCTCTTAAAAGGAAGTTTTTCCTTGCCTCTGTCGCCTAGTGCTTGCTCTTGGTGGGAACTGTTGTTGTTGTTGTTGGTTTTCTATAAATATCATCACAGAGTATGGTCTAGACCTGCTCTTTTATGAAAAGTGCTCTGAGATAACTGTTGTGATTTGGTGCTGTATAAATAAAATTTAATTGAATTGAAAAGCAAACTTGATGCCAGTCTGGCCAGTAGTTGTTGGTAGTGATGAAAGGCTAATGGAGCAAATATAAGGATATAATGATAACAGAGATGGTTGGGGGGGCGGAGGATCAGGCTGAAATGTTGAAAGGAAAGAAAAGGGCATGATGGGAAGGGAGCAGGAGGTGAGGGGTTTGGTACTGATTGACGGTTTTATAGCAGCGCAACAAGCTGGCATGCCCCTTTTTTTCTCCTCCACCCATCTGTTCATCAGGATTACTCATAGAGATGTGTGGAGGAAGTGAGGGTAAGCTGTGGGAGGGCAAAGACTGGAAGAGGAGAGGAGAGGAGAGGAGAGGAGAGGAGAGGAGAGGAGAGGAGAGGAGAGGAGAGGAGATTCATCATCACAACCTACAATAACTGAACTCAAACCACTTTTCCATGACACCTTTTAAGTAAAATAAACTGCTGTGATAATGACTCACAATTATGGATCAGTGCAATATAGCAGAGGGCTCTCAAGGGGCTATTCAGGTAACAATGATAGTAATGTGAGGTGGAAACATTTTAGCACGTTGTTATGTAATACTGTACTGCAGCGCTTCTTTACTTACTAAGTCATGGCTCCCTAGTGGTAAATACGTATTATAGGTTTTCCACAAGGCAGATACAGTATGCTGTGTACTACTGACCTGTCATCTGTGTTCATTAAATGGAGAGTTTTCTTGTAAATGTCAATGCTATGTATTTGTATAGCGACCTTTCTAGTCTACCGAACACTCAAAGCGCTACATGGCATTCACCCGTTCATACACTGAGCCTGAATGCTCAAACAGAACTATAATTCACACACATTCATACACCAATGGAACAGCCATTCAGGGGTTGAGTGTCTTGGCCAAAGACACTAACACATGGAGCCTGGAAGAGCTTGGGATTGAACTGCTGATCTTCCAATTAGTGGGCAACCCGCTCTATCTCCTGAGCCACAGCCGTAAACAAATGTTTACAAAAGTTATGTTTACATTCAGTGATATTCACAAAAGCCTTTAGGTCACAAGCGCATTTCCTTCCTCACTAAACATCTGCGAAGCAGTTTTTTTTTTTTTTTTTAAGTATTGTATATCCAGCATACACCCACGTTTAGCCTGCAGTCTTCTTCTTCCCTGTCTTTGTGCATTGGATCATATCTTGGCCTGCGCGAGATAGAAAAACAGCTCCATAGCGCTACTAGATGACCAAGACTCCACAGGAAACATTTAATACAAGCCATGTTGTTTATACTACTGCTGCTCAGTATTTAGGTGAAAATATAAATTGTACTAAAGTGAGTTAAGAGCAGTTGAAACCTCCATGTGTATATGCAATTTGTTGTATCTCAAAATACTATCTATTCATCGTTGTTTTCTTGGTCTAAATCTGTTCTTATAATATTTGTGAGCGCATAAGCAATCAACATTTTTGGACTACTGGAGAATTAGAGTTTGTTTTTCTAGATTTTTTAAAATATTCCTGCCTTGCTCACCTGAGTACTCATCTTCTCTCTGTTTTGTGTGCAGTTTGTACGTGCACAGCAGTTTGTTCAACAGCACGTGAGCAGGAGGTGATGCCAGGACATGTGGCTCCAAACACATGCTGGGTATTCATATTGTCCTCTCAGCTTTCAGGGTGTGGACATGGTTGTGTTTTTTACTGTATGCTTAAGGCTTTTTGCATGTTTATATTTCATTGTACTCCAAATGATGCTTGGCTTTTGGCAGCATGTTGGCTGAATTAGGGACTGATCCTAAACTCTTCCACGAACAGAACAGTCTTTAAATCCATGAGCCCAACCTGACACCATGCTCCCGCTTCCACCACGAACAGTAAATATCTTCAAATCTATCACTAATATTCTCACTTCCCCTATGATTTCATTTCTGCATCCGTTTAATTGTGATTTTTTTTTTTTTCATCTTCCACATAGCGACAAAAAGCTAAACAACACAATCCTGGCATCAAGCAACTGTACTTTGCTGGGCTAGTACTTGGTCAGTGTACAAACTGCAGATACCAAGAGGGCTCAGCCAAGACTGCAACGAGTATAAATCAGTCACTGTCAACTGTCAGACACGCCTCAAAACTCAGCACTTTTTCACCATGCTAAATGACCTTTCTTATTTGAAATACAGCCATGGTTTGAAAACTGATATGACTTTCAAATGCATTCCCAAAGATTTTTGCACTGGAGAGCCGCCATTGACAGTTTCATAATATCATGTATGGCCATTTAGTGCATAAATGAATACAAGCAACAGTGCATATAATACAGTTATCCTCTCAGCCTATATCATTTGTATACACAAAATGCACAAGGGGAAGCTGACTGACACATCCAGTGACATCAGTGTGTACACCGCATGTAGGAGCAAAGAATAATCAGCTGCAGTGGTATTATGAGCGAGTGAAAGCAAATTCTAAAGACAGTTATTGTTGTTATTGAATCTGATTGGTGACCTGTTTGTATACCAAAGGTTACCAGCAGCTAAATAATGGATATAATAGTAAGCAGAGGAAGTCTATTCATTTACAATATTTGACTTACCTGAGCGAATTTAATCTCAGCTACTGTGTATCTTCAGGAAGTGGGTCAAACCTGCAACAATGAGAAGAAGGACATCACCCATTAATGGGGCTGTTTTTCAGCCAAAATCTGTCCCAAAATCCCTTCCCATTGGACTAACCAGTTCTAATACTGTGTACATTCTTGCCACCAGACTATATAATGTTATACTGCATATGAATATCAGTATCATAAAGACTGTGCTACAACGACTGCTACTACTTAATCTCTTGTGATATTATGGAGCACTGATGTTTTTATTACAACTCATTTGGCAAAGAAATCATAGTCCTGCACAGCTTATAATCATGCAAACTCAGATCAGTGTCCTCCTATTACTAGCATCAGATAAGCTGGAAGGATATGAATGAGCAGTTAAATAAGACACTCAATGTTTTAAAAAAGAAATTGGTATTCACTAAAAATGACCGTAGGTACGAAGGTGCATCATTTAAAACTTAGTAGAGAAAGTAAGAGCTTGGTTAACAACAACTCTTCTAATGAACACAACCAATTGCAGTTTACAAAATATGATTGAGACATAGGGACATATTCGGTTCTCACAGCTAACAGACTTTAATTAATTCATCAGTACAGGCCAGTGTCACATACGCAGCGCAACATGAATACATGGGCACATCCTCCAAGCTCTCCAAGGGATACCCAGTGAATTACTGTGTCTTGTGAAAACAAGGCCTTCAATCAATAACCAAAATGTCTCCAGTCATTTTTATTACTTTTACCTCCAGCGGTGGACACGCATAAGTGAAACACACACACCCAGTGCCCCCCACCTCCCGCAAACAGGCTTTCCTTCGTGACCGCGAATGCATTATCATAATCTCCAGAGAGATTCTCCATTCATCTCACATTAGCAAAACAAATGTGACAGATAAGGAATGACGGCCATTAAAACTGTAGCTCAGAAGAGAAAGATGGTAGATTATGTGAGTATCCATTAATAAGCCAAGGTCGAGCTGTTTGAACTCATTGGATAATGGAAAAGATAAGGAAGGATGTTTGAACTCCCTGCAATGACATGGGTGGGTAGCTGCGGTCACAGATTGAGAGATTGGAGGAACGCCAGCGACCCAACCCAACCCCAAGCCGTGACCTGTTACCAGGGAAACAGAAGGATGTAGAGAGAGAGATGCAAACAGAAAAAGCAGGGGCAAATTTTTTCTTAATGTCTATCATCAGCACATTAGAATAAACCTGGATAGGTTTACCTAAAAGTGTATTTATTGAATTAATTAAACTACCTGACTGAACTGAACTGATCTGATCTGAAATGAGCTGTATTGATCTTATCTCAGCTGAACTGAGACCAGAGAGGGCATACACAGAGGAGGGGAAAGAGGGGAGGAAAAAAGAGAGGGAGATGTTAATGAAGAGAGACAGGAACGCACCGAGACATCAGAAAACCCCCGGCAGGAGAGGCAGAGCAAGAATGATAGGAAAAAGAGTGTTGAGAGAGAGAGAGAGAGGGGGCACATGAAAAAATGAAGAGAAATCTGAAACATGCATTATTAACGGCTAAATCTAAAAGCACTTCATCAGAGTGTAAGAGAGGAGGGTGAAAAGAGATACAGAGACAGAGTAGAAAAAAAGAGAGTGGAGGTGGCAAGACAGAAAAGCTAGCAGACCTAACCCCAAGCTGCAGCACATTACCATGTAGACGAAAGGAGGGAGACAGACCCTGGATATGAAATGTCAACAAAGATATTTCCTTTTAAAGGCATAGTTTGACATTTTGAAAAAATATGCTTATTCAGCTACTTACCAAGAGTTAGATGATAAGATCAATACAAGCTACAGGAAGGAGATGTTTAGCTTACCTTTGAATAAAAACTGGAAATAGGCAAACAGCTAGCCTAACTCGATCCAAAGCTAACAAAATCCACCTACCAGCACATCTAAAGCTCACAAATGACCACATTATATCTTGTTTGTTTATCTGTACAAAAACCGAAGGGTGAAAAGGACAATTTGCTGTTTTATGGAGGGGCTATGTGCTGCATTATTTCTGAGCTAAGAGCAGTGACCTCAAAAAGTCTGCGTTGGTTGCCTAGCAAGCTAATGGTGAAGAAAAGACTCCAAGAAGTCAAATGTAAAACCATAAATTGTTGTCTTTACACAGTTTTGTGAAGTGTTAAATGGTGAGCCTTAAATGGGCCGTTAGGCAGATTTTGTTTCATTTTGGCAGAGCCGAGCTAGCCGTTTCCCATTTCCTCCCTTTATGCTAAACTAAGCTAACTGCCTGGTTAGTAGCTTTCATTTAATGGACAGACGTGAGAGTGGGATCAGTCTTCTGAGCGAATTCTCGGGAAGAAAGCAAATCAGTTTATTTGTCAAAATGTCAAACTTCTTCAAATTTCTTTAAAAAAAAATTTATTCTACAGACAATATATTTACTTCAACTGTATCACTGAAATAATCTGGCCTAGTACGTAACCTATGGTTGATTTGATATGTTGTCAAAAGACGTCTGGAACTCGACCCTTTCATATATGAGTTTCACATACAGTATATGCTTGTTAATTAATTTTGACTTTTAAAGTACTCCACAGTATATTGTATAATGATGAGTTAATGTTTTGAATGTGTGATGAAGCAAAAATAGATCAGATTCGTTCACATCTTCAGTAACTGACTAAATTATCTCTATGACAACAGTGGGAATGTGAAATATAAGCTCTGTGAATATTAAACATTCCCTGGAGAGGCCAGTGTTTTTCTCAGTGTCCTGACCAACTACAGTAAGATCACTATGTCTGATTACTAAAGCCATATGTCCCAAAGCCATGTGCCACTCTGATTTACTATCCAACTTGTGTTTCAATTAGCTGACTGACTGGATTTTATGGATCCACTGGGAACCTGTACACGGCAATTCTGAATGTTTTTTGGTGATAGAATAACTGACTCCAGGCAGGAATTGAAATGAGGATGCACGTGCACGCCCAAAAAACCCACTTAACACCCCTTTATACAGTCTATGGTACATAGACACATCCTGATAAACCCATACACACAAGCAGACATTATTTTGAATGTGGGTTGAAAATACTTTTGGTGACCACGTAATTCCAAGTTCCTTCATATCCATTAAAAATAGAAATATATGTTTTAAATTCACAATAAAGTATTTATACCTCAATATAACAATAAACTTTATTGATATAGCACTTTTCAAAAAGTGCCTAAAATGGTTGAACCAGGTGTAAAACATATTACAATATCCCATACAAAGTAGCACAGTACATAGCCTACAGTATCTAGTTTTGGTATGAAAGTAAAGAGTGTGATTGTATTGGCATCCTACTGTACCATTTGAAACATTCGGCTTGTGATCACATTAATGGCTTGGCAGGCTTCATGATTACTGTTACACAATTATGAAGCTTGTTAAAAGTACTTTTTGTAAACATGGGCAATCAATGTGGAAAATAAGCATTTATGTTTGTTGTCTTTTTAATCTCTAATACTGTAGCTGCTAAATCAGCCATGTTTTCCATTTGTTAATTGTACAATTGGAGCCTTCCAACTCTACAAAATAATTGCAAGGGTAAGCTGCCATCCAAATGGATCCATCCTCAACAGTGAGCAAGATAATCTGTATTTCTGTCTGGTGCCCAGGCTACCATGAATGAAATCTGACTTTCTCACACATGTGATTTCCAGACACCAGTTGCCCTGGAGCTGGAGCTGGCCAGAGCAAACAACAGGAAACACAAAAGCAACACTTGTACACAATGTTTCTTTAAATAAATATAGGGTGTCAGCAGCACATCAACAGAGGAAAGAGGTTGAAGAATGTGCAACTGCCTTTCAGTGAAAAAGGTTGTGCTATGTAGAAAAAGATAAATCCTCTTCTCTTTTAAACACGGCGCAGAGACACAGGGTTTGCAATGTCAAATTGAGAAGCAATGCAATGACTTGGTAGTTAGCTATGGAAGCAATAGAATCTGGAGGATGAAGATTGTCTGTTCATCAAGAATCAGAGATACCATCTGCATGTGATGAGATTTTGATGTAGGCCTTGGGGGTTATTTATTACCCACGATGTGTGCTTGTGTGTGTGTATGTTTGTGTGTGTTCTATGCCAGTGCACATCTGTCTATATGTACCTATAGTCACAGAAAATGATAAACGATTTAATACATAATAATGCACCGTGTCATTGTGCCGTATAGATACAATGTTCCACACTTCCATTTACAAAATGCCCTGGCACGTAGGCATTAAAATTGTTTTTGCATTTTCAACACAAATCCATCAAAACTGTGAATTAGCCAAAGCAGATCAATAAGACCAGTCAGCGATTTTCACTACCTAAGATTTCACCTTGATAATTTCTGGCTGACTGAAAAATACGTACTACCCAAGGAGAGGAAACTTTTTGGGAGATTAGGAAATAAACTTGAAACTAGATCCATGCAGTTAAAATAGCAGTTTTAACCCTTTTTAGAAAACTGTGAAAACAGTTCAGGGTGCCTTTACAACTGCTTTTGAAGTCTCCACTGAAGAGTTCAAACCCACACATCCCTTGTGATGTAGATGTATATATATGTATATATGTGTGTGTGTGTGTGTATGTTGGACATGGAGACTTAAAGGGGGGGGTTGGTTGCCATGGCTATGTTTTTTTTAATTTCAGCAGTCTGTGAGCATCCTTCTGATGACAGACAACATACAGACACAGTTCAGTCCAACACAAAACGAGCAGTCAGGGAGAGCTGAGTTTAATAAAAGAGATTTACTGCCTCGTGAAAGTTTTTTCTCTTCCCTCCAGAGGTTAAAGGGACGATTCTCACATCCCCACTGTTCACACTCGACACCACACAATGCACACAATGAAGACATCAGGAATGTCACACATGCACACAGAGACGGTAAGAGCAAGAAAGATAAATCAAGATGAAGGAGCAGTAGGAAGTAGCATTCCTGTGCTGCTTATCCTCAGCTAAGCTCTCTGCAACTGAAGTGGAGCATATTGTAAAAGTGTCCAGGTATGAGAGTTCTCTGGGGAT